CAGAGATTTGTTTTCAGTCTGACACACCTTCAGTATTTCCATCACTGTAAGAAAGGAAGACAAACTCTGCCTAAATGAGAACAGGGATAAATATCATGCAATAAGGACTGTATGGTTTCTTGATCTCCCATTGCAAAGATAAAATACAATTCTGGCTGAATGAAATCCATCCATCTATTTAACTGGAATGAATAGTTCAAAATCTTTTTCCCACGACAGGTAGAAAATTGTTTGGCATTAATCCAGAGTAGTTCCTTTAAGAAACTAAAGTTAACTGCTAGACAGAGATATGATAATTTATGATTATCCTCGAAATTCAAATATCAGAAGATGGAGTGACACTTCCAAGGTAAATGCATTCCAGTTTTCCGCTTGTTGACCACTGCTTTTAGTGAGCTATAGCTACAGTACTGTTACAACCTCAACAAAAAACAGAAACACTGTTCTACGCTGTAATCTGTGAAAATACAAAGCAGTTGAACATATTGTGCAAGAAACACAAGTCGAACGATTTTTTTATTGCTATGAGGCAAAATCAAATGTGGTAAAATTCCAGTGTTGGTGTTGAATGTTTAAAGTTAATTCACCACATTTTTAGTCTAATTTTGTCAGGGCTCCAGTCTGTGTGTTTGTTTTTTGTGTTTGTCTCCCTTCCTCCAACAGGAGGCGACTGGTTCTGGTCCGCCTCCTAAAACACCTGCTGATGGTTACCTCGTTAACGGAGTGCTCTTAAGCTGCTGACTGCCACTACCTCAACGCCAGAGTGTTTGCCAGTTTTGGGTACTCTAGCCAAGCTGAGTTTTTGCTGAGTAAGACTGAGTTCTTGTCAACCTGAGTTTAAACTTTGTTTTTTGTCTTTGCCTCTCAGCAGGAAGTCATCCCGCAAACTGGATCTTTCGGACCTTCACTCCCTGGAGGGATCAACTGAGCCTCAAACTGAACTGAGGATACAAACTGGAGGTTTGGACCCAGTTTCCCAGAGAGGACGTTGAGTTTACACACTGAGCAAGGGAATCCTCTCCACTTCAACCCATTCAAGTACCGCAGGAAATCTGAGTGGCAGTCAGTTTCTCCGTTCACCTACAACCGACCGTGTTCTGGATAAACCCTGTTCCGCCCTCCACCGAATCAGACTAACACTGGAAACCAGCACACAGATTGGAGTCAAAGATTCTACAACTTCTCTGGAAATGTGAGTCTACAACCAGATCCTCCTCTCCAAATCCAACGAATGAAATTTCCCACTGAGCCTGAACTAATTGCTGTGTCTTCCCCTCACCTTCCAGTTCCGGCTGAGCAGAGTTCAGAGCAACACTGTACGGTGCTTTATCTCTTCAATAAAACCTGTTAAACCTTTTCCCCTGGTCTCTCTGAATTGGTTTCTCTGCATGTGGGTCTGAGCTTTAGATAAAACCATGACAATTTAAAGGTATAGTGGAGGATTTTTGCCAATGTTTGAAAAGACCCGCCCTGTCCAAATGCACATGCACAACCCCGTACCTGCTACCGAGAGAAGACGCCTATTAAACACGTTTGAGAGCATGCACGTTCCCATCTCTCATCGTGCACGCTCTGTATAGAAGTTGCTGTTTGCATCACTCATACAAGCTTGCTTTCCAAAAGAAGATTTGAAATTTTTTCACTATGTCAGTGTCAAGTAAAAATGGGGACTAGCACGTACTGTAGGACGGCCTTATGTAAACATATCACCAGAATGATTGACAATTAGGAAGATTATTTATTTATTATTTTGATGATCCACCCAGAAAAAGAACATCTTCCACTATACCTTTAAGAATGAGAGAGAGAGTTCTGCTATGAATGTACAATTTATATTTTAGTTTTAACAAATGACATTTTTTATCCATAAATGCAAGTTCCAATATACACATGTATTTTCAATATCTGGTCACAAGGACCAGAAATCGGCAGGTCAGATGTTTTAAGTAAGTACAGCCCAGACAGAGACAACAAGCAGATTATCTACTGCTGGAACTACTACTATTTATAGTCTTTCACTCGATCCTCACATCAGTAAGTCTGAGCTATCCCTTTAAAGCTTTATGTTGATTAATATGAATACCTCTCTTTGAAAAATCGTCGCAGGCCAAAGGCGATGAGTTTCAGAATCGCCTCAATCACGAAAACCAGAGTGAAGACGTAATTGCAATACTTCAGTATCTCTTCCAGGTACTGCAGGACACAAAGAGAAGATAAAGACTTACAAAAAAAAAAAGAAAGAAAGAAAAACCCCACTGTTCCTCACTGTACCTCCCTTCATTACTATGGTTCTGGGACAGGTAGCAGTAGGAGTTGCCATGGTTACCTTAGGCTGGTTGTAGTGCTCCATGCTCATGGTGAGAAGGTTTGTGAAGATGATGATGGTGATGAAGAGATCCAGGTAGTGGCTGGTGCACACTGTGTGTATAGATCGGCGCAGCGGGGAGTAGTCGGCGTAATATGGCTTCTCTAGGGCCCCTGTGAGACACACACACACGCACGCACACACATACACAGACAGTCATTAAAATGTTTCTAAAAGAAAAATATTATATGGGCTATGAAGTCACCGATGAAGCGGGTGCCAGGTGGCACTCCGCTGCGTGTGTGCTGACTAAAAGTGCCACCTCAGGAATTTAATCCTATCCATCATGGACACACACTCTCCGAGGCACCTCAAGGTGTCTTTGGGCAGAAAATCTTTGCTTATCTGCTGCTACTGAGTAAGAGGAAAGCACTACTAGAGATTACACTGCAGAGAAAGAGTGGACGGAGTGAGTCACCAATGTGGTAGTGTAAAAAACAGATAAATAAAAATGAATGTACGTGCATGTCCTGAGTGTAATAAATATAGAAATTAGTTTTTGCAGCAAATAAAGAAGTTTTGCAGCAGTGTGCGTGTTATTAGACATACACCATGTGGAAAAGACCATGCTGATATACATGTCTATTGCATATTTGATCTAGTTTCCTGTTTTTAATTAAATGAAGTCTTAAAGGTCAAATGTGTAGAAAATGATAAAGGTGAAAACAGGACCATCACAGGCTCCAATATCCTTTATGAAATGCCTAAAATGTAGAAGAGGCTTAGTGTTTCATGAATAAAAATTGCTTATGGACTTTTGTGCTCCATTCATAGGCGAGAAATCGTATATTTTTCCCAGTATAATACAAAAGTGGATGGCTTGTCATCTGGTGATTAGAGAAGTTTTGTGAGCCTTGGAAAAATACACTGTCTAAACATGGGAAATGCCAAAGCACCTAGATTAAGGTTTAAGAAGCTTTTTGCTATTGGTTAGCAAAATAATCACAAGTTGAATCCCAAAAGTAAATTATTCTTGAAATAAGTATATTTGAAGAGGCAAGTAATATAGTTGGATAAAATTAGATGAAATGGTTTACGTTTAAATTAAGCAAAACAAAAACAAATAATAATAAATTTTCTTACTTCAAGTACATAATATCTTATTTTATTTAAAGGTCAAAAATGGTCATACCATTGACAGTTCATCTTATTTATCTGGTCAAATTAGGGGGAATCTCTTTTGTTCTAGCTGTAGGTTTGAAGACATTAAAGAAGAAAAATAAAAAATCTGGTTCTACAGGAGGACTGAATACAAACACTCACCCGTACCTTTCAGATTTTGAACATCATGTGCCACCTAAATATGTCTCACTTTTTAATTATAAATCTCTCTGAATCTCAACACAATATAATGTTCATTATTTCAACTTCGATTATTTTAATCTAAAATGTAAAAAAAAATGTGAAAATAAGCTGAGCATCAACATACTTTAACCAATATTTATGGAAGAGCTTTTAAATGCAGGATGCTCTGGTGTCAGATGACCCTGATATTAAAGTTGACTCCTGCCAGTTATCGTTTCTGTGTCCATCCCCACCCACCACCATAATGCTCTCTCACTTCTCCTCCTTTTCTCCAGCCGCTTCTGTCTCTTCTCCTCCCTCAGCCTAGCCTCTTCCTCCTCCTGCTGCTGGCGACACTTGTGAAAGTTTTCCACCACCACGCCCACGAACATGTTGAGCACGAAAAAGCTGACAATGAGGAGGAAAGAGATGAAGAACAGCAGCATCCAAGGGTTGTTGTTTCTTTTGGGCTGCAAAAAAGGACATGGATAGTGAGAGAAGAAGGGAGAGAAGTTAGATAGGTGGGCAAAAGAACAAGCACAGTAAGAAGGAGAGGAGAAGGGGAGCGTAAGCAATGAGACAATGTAAGTTCTGACTCAGCAGTAAAACTGCCAGCACTGTCACAAATATTCATCCATCTCCTTCTTCCCCTTATAATAATTCTCATCTGAAATATTTCTCCTGTTCCTCAGTCAAACAGTCAGATTCAGCAGAACAAAAGACTAAAAACATTCACTGTCTAAAAGATCTGAATGCCTTTGCGACATTCACTGTTATGCTCACCTGCTGGTCCACCCCAACAGCGTCCAGGCCGTCGTACATGATGCTCACCCAGCCGTCCTTACAGGACAGCACAAAGAGTGACATCAGAGCCTGCATGGGCGAGGCGAATTTAAATCAGTGCCACGCTGACAATCAGTTTCTCACAAATAGGCGTCACAGCAAAAAGATGTGTGGGTGTGTGACAAACCTGTCCGAGGTTGTCAAAGTTGTATTTCCGCCGAATCCAGCGATAACCTGCCTGCAGACACTCGGTTTTGTTTGTGATGTTGCTGACATTTAGCCCGTCGCAGTAGAAAAATTTGCCTTTAAAAAGCTAGAGAGGTGAGAATGTAGAAAAATACATGAAACTCTGACCTCTATGTGTGAAAAAGGCAACAGAGCATGATGATGAGTTTCATTGGTCTGCAGTGAAAAACAGTGTCACATATTACAATGCTTCTCTCTGCACACTAGCTGCAGAGTTTGCTCTTATTAGAAAATAATTAGCTGATGCTGTGTTCCTAGAAATAAAAGACTCCAAAATGTCAGCTTCAGCGCTTCAAGGCTTCATCTCTTCTGCAAAAGTTAAATGAGAATATTAGTGGGTATATTTGCAGTAGGCACAGAGCCTAATTCACAGCCCTTCGAAGATTTTTACATTTTATCAAGTTACAACAACACATTTCAATGTATTTTAATGAGATTTTATGTGATAGAAAAAACAAAGTGGGGTTAATAATTTACTGAAAGAAAAAAAGGTGTGTGTGTGTGATTTAAAAAAATAAACCAAGAGAAAAAATATTGCACACACTTATGTTCAGATCCATTTAATGTAATCCTTACTAAATTTATAGATTTGTCATGTAATCCCTGTATAATCCAGCAGCATGAAACCAGCAAATACCAGTAAAGTGAGGAATAAACCTGAAATGGTAATGTAAAGTTTTAAGATAACCCAGCACTTCCGATGGACCACTTTTCACAAAGAGTCCTAAGACAAAAGTAGCTTTTAGTGATGTCATTTTAGGTAAAATATTTCTTTGTATTCAGTCTTTTTCAGATAAAAGGTGTTCACAAAGTGGCCTTGTTTATAAGAGAGCGGAGGAATGTGAGAAGGCTTTTCAGCAAGCCTCACAGTTTCTCAGAGAAGATGGCAGAAACAGAGGGAGCTGTTTGGCTAATCATCAGTTTAAATGTGGAACTTATGAGCACATAAATTTCTCTAACAATCATACAATTAGTAATAGGGAGATAAGCGGAATCTTAGCATTCCTATAGGGGGAAATCAATTAGATGTAGCAGTTGCACAAGGTGCTATTAAGGTAATGTTTTTTTAAGACAAATAATCATAGGATTAATAAAAATTTCAAAAGAAATGAAAAAAAGATACTAAAAAATGTAATTAGTCAAACGTTCTTGATAAGATAAAGCACAATAATATATAGAAGGACCACCAAAGGTGAGAAAGTATATTTGTGTTGTGGATAATGACTTAATTTCTCTGAATCAAATGTGTAGGAGCAGGAACACATTTAAAAGTCTCAGAAACAAGAACTATTGCAATCAAATGTTTACCGGTGGATTGTAAGCATTAAAAAAGGGAGTAACATGTAATAAGAGCAGATTTACCTATCCATTTGTACTTTTTTAAAACAATGTTTCAAGAGTTGAATAAGTGAAGCTATCTATTAAAATCTAAATGTTTTGACAAATAAGACACAACAAAGGCTTTTTATGTCAGAATGCAGATCTGTAAAAAAAATATATAGACTCATTCCTGTAAAATATTTTTCTTTCATGAGCTAGCCTTTCTTACACTATTCTTTTGCTCCCAAATTAGGGCATTAATGAAAAGAACGGCATTAACCAACTGCTTTTGATGGAATCCATTTCAATCTGAAAAACTCACATTGAGACAATTAGGAGAAATGTATTGATAGAATTACTTTAGTCTTTGGCGCTCAGACCTCGGCAGGAAGCATTGCGCTTAATTTTGATAGATATGCATGAACAGGAGTAAAGAATAGGGCTGTCCCCCTCCCCCAGGCCTGAAACTGGTGGTGGAGTGGAGATAGATGAATTTGGTCAGTCTGTAGACTGCTGGTTAGCGAGACGGTATGCTGAGCTTTATAGGGAGATCCAGTGGATTGCGTGAGCTGATACTAGAGCTTCACTCAGGGACCTGGAAGATGGAAGTCCAGTTTGGACAACACAGGTTGAGAGAACCTGTCCATGATGAGCAAGCATGGACAGGCATAGACGTGGGTTGAAACAGTGTCATCTGAATGAAGCTACACAGTGCATCCGCCGCCTGCCTGCGCACAGGAGCAGAAAATTGCGAATCGGAGGCCTTTAAAGAGGAAGTTTTGAGGACGATTGGCTTTCGTGGAGGTGTGGTTCAAAGCTTATTGGCTGTGCAGCAGGTGGATGAAGGAAAGCAATGAGTTTCTTCAGTTGAACTAAAAACTATGATTCCTTTTTTTTTTTTAAAGAAAATCCTGTAATTGATAGCTAGACAGAAAATAATCATTGGGAGTTATGACTGCTATAGGAGTTTCTAAGAGCTAATAAAGGGGTCATAGAATGACTTTATAGGGTATTTGCAGCTGGTCCTTAAGGTCTCTAATTAGAGTGTGTCACATTGCTTTGGCTAAAAATGGCATTTTGCTGTTCTATGAGCCCTAATGCAAGCCTGGTTAAAAGGCCTAGAATAAAACGACAGGTTTCTTTCCTTTTATGGTATGGTCATAAATATTTAGATGAGCTGTGCGCTGATTGGTTGGTTTGCGACGAGCGAAGCTGCTGAGCAAAGACGCATCATAGCAACAGACTCTCATTCAATGAAAAATTGAAATAGTTGACATGGTAGGGTGACCAGATGTCCTTCTTTTGCCGGGCATGTCCTACTTTTCATACCTAAAAAAAAATTTCCGGCGGGAATTTCAAAATTGTCCAGGATTTTTGTTGATTACCCACCCCAAAACATGCCTGAGTTCCGGCCCAGTCAGCGGCCCAGCAGTCGACACTTCATTGGCCCCCACCACCCCGCCATCCTCACTTGAGCCAGTGAACCAGTGGGTTGGTCTGTATGTCAATTTCGGGTGCGTGACAAAACGACAGGCCGAACCAAATAAGTCAACATCCCAGAGTTTACTTCAATTCGGTGCTTCGTTTGGATTCGCCCATTTCATGGTGGAAGTTTAGAATTGTGAGATTTGCAGAGAAAGGAGGTGTCGATGGGATTTGAACTTCTCTGTACGTCCATTTCACCTACTGAATTATCGTTATTCATCGATGACAATGTCAGAATCAGAATTCAATATACTTTAATAATCCCAGAGGAAAATTACAGAATGTAAACATGTAAACTCCGTTTTGCATTCTATGACCCCTTTAATGATCCAGTGTACTTTGGACTAGCTGTTCTCTAGGGGTAGCTCTTCACTTGTCATTTATTGGGGAACTTTCAATCATTTAAACTAAGACTTAATTGAGTTTAAGTGATTAGCAGATAGACGGGACAGAAAATGAATGATGAGCTAAAGTCCAAGAAAGCCAGAACACTCTTCTATGGTCAATATAAAAGTGTATGTGAAAGGAAGCTAAGAAAAGGATAAAACTTTAACATTATCCTATAAACATTTTCTGATAAAAGAACTCAACATTAATAAATCAAACAAAAAAGAACAAGTAGTATTCACTGAATTATTGATTTAAAAATCTTTAAGTTGGTTAAAATCTGCTTTAAAGAATCCATTCTCAGCACAATCCCTCAGTAGAGTCATTGTTTTTTTTAATTACTTCAAGGGACTCTTTTGCATAATCTGCAACTCATTTGCATTTCCTCACAATTTTCTGCCTCACTTTTTATTACCTGAAACCTTTCTGGGCTTTGCCTAATTTTTTTTAAAACCCTTAAAGCAGTATCTTTCTTTCAGCAGAAAACACAGGCAGGTTTGGGGTAAAAAAAAAAGGTTACATTTGTGATTCTTAGAGATGATTTATGCATAACAGAGGATAGCTTACCTGCACTCCTAAAATCCCAAACACGATGAAAAATGCGCAGCAGATGAGAACAATATTTCCGATTGGTCTGAGAGATGTGATCAGGGTCTCTACAACCAGTTTTAGACCTGGAGCCCGACTTATCACCCTGAAAGAGAAAAAGATGTGTACAGTGCTATGGGTAAGTATTGACCTACAATAGATTTTTTTTCTGCTTTCTTTTTGTGCATCACCCTGCAATTTTTTTAGAAAATTAATAATGTCCAAATGAGTAACTGCAGCAGGCAAATTTGCCAATGATGTTTCAATTTAGTAGGGAAAAAACAAACAATGTATTGCAGTATATTGTATTGTGTGGCCCCCATTTGTTAAATCATGAGTTAAAGCAGTGTGATCAACCACATTTATTCAGTCTCAACTCAACTCAACTCAACTTTATTTATAAAGCGCTTTCAGTCAGCCAAAGCTAAAATCAAAGCGCTGTACAGGTCATTTGAGCAGATTATAAAACACAATTATCACCACAACACAGGACAAACTCAAAGATTAAAAAACCAGTAAGAGCAAAAAAAAGTCGAAGTCTCACTCAAAGGCCTGAGAGAAAAAGTGGGTCTTTAAAAGGGTTTTAAAAGAGCTGAGTGTAGGGGCCTGTCTGATAGAAAGGGGGAGGGCATTCTAGAAACACCCATACTGGCTGACTTGTCAAAATAAGGGATGACTTGCGTAAAAACCTATCAGACAACATGAAGTTTCAAAAAGCAACACACAACGCTACAGACCAAAAGAAGAAAAAAAAAAAATTTGATTTTGAGATCATTAGGAAGTAATATCATTAGGACACCAACAAAGCATAGTGAGTAACTATCCACAATAGAAAATAAATAGAAGAGCATTTTCAGTGAGTGGCTACCCTACCAAGGGACAACTTGGAAGGTCAGAAAAAATATCCATAACAATATTTAATGTTCTGTTGTCCTTACTGGCATTATTTAAGGCCTGTGGTCATAAATCAACAACCCAAAAACAAAAGACTGAGGAACTAAAGGCATCCTGCCATGATCTTTAGGTGTTCTGCTTTAATCCTCACTTCTTTAGCTGTATGGTCTTTCTGCCATCCTTTGTGTGTTTGTTCTTTCCTTTATCTATTTGGTTTGGATTCCTTTGTTGGAACTCTAAATCTTTTGTTTTTGGTTGCTAACATTGCTTTGTCACTGTCCAAGTCCCATTTGTGTTTTTATTCTATTTACCAATAGTCTTAGATGCTTAGATGTTCTCACAACTCAATGTTTTACTGCATTTCGTACCATATTTATTTGTTTTGCACTGCTCTGAACCTTTCCATACCAATGCCTTTTGCACCATTTGGAACAAACTGGTTTTCTTTTTCTCTTACACTGTTTATATTCTGCTGCACTTTATAATGGATTGATTTCACTGTTGTACGATGCTCATGTCACTGTTGTAAAGCTGTATGCATAGTTTTGATGATTTTGTTTTGTTTACAAGATGTGTAGGCAAGATGACAATAAAGTTTGTCTTAGTCTATTTTGATTATTGAACCATATAATTGACATGAATTTCCCACAGTCATCTTTGCACCGAGATAAGTACCAAGACTAAATCCAGCTGACGAAAAACAAAAACATCTGCAAAAGCAAGATCTTGATGATTCCCAACACTTTTGGAAAAACATGCCTCAGACTTACGTGACATCAGTAGAACTTTTTGGAAGGTGTGTCACATTAATTGCGGGTTAAAATTAACACAGTCTATCCTCATACTGACGGTTAAATACAGTGGTGGCCTTGTAATGGGGCCACTTTGATGCTTCAGAAAAACATGCTGTAAATGACAACACCATACACCCTTAAAAAGAATGCCAGGCCATCTGTTTTTCACCTTAGTGTTCAAATGTACTTGGGCTATAAAAACACAAAGAACCAGCTATCCCTGCACTTAATGGCTAAGAAAAAAACAGTGGCCTAGTCAAAGTAAGTAAATTGAATTGATATGCTTTGGTGCAATAAAAGACAATAATGGCCCCAAATTGGCATGTTTCTTTCTTAATATTTATTGAATCTTTAACAACTGTAAAATAATGCACACATTTGCAATTTTAGTAGGATTTGCTTCCATAACAGTCAGCACAGCATGGCTAATTCAAAACAAATCTGGCATGATGGTGTTGTTCAAAATTCCTCCTTACTCAGTTATCTCATGTTCCTGATGCCAATTTTTGCCGGAAGTCTGAGAGGCCAAAATAGATTTGTCACGAGTTAAAGAGAAGAAATCTTCAGCATATTGATACAATGGAAACATACAAAATAGGTGGAAAAGTCCCATTCTCCTACCTTAGTGGCCGCAGGGTGCGAAGAAGGCGAAGGACTCGCAGCATGCCCAGGATTCGATTACCACCCGCTGATGCGATGGAGACCAAGATGTCCACCATGGACACAAACACTAACACGCCATCCAATATGTTCCAGCTGCTCTGCAGGTACACACCTTCTCCAAAGTACAGGCCCATTGCTACAACCTTATGACAAACACAGATCCAATTGAATTGCTTAAATAATAAAGAAATATGAGTAGAAACTGAGACAGAAAAGCTCCTCTGGTCCCCACCCAGGGGGAAAATTGCTTCTTTTTATGAGCAAGATTAGATAAAGCAGTTTGAGTGAAATGCTTGTGCAGTAAAAGGGTTCTGTTATGGTTACCTTGATCATCATCTCGCCCACAAAGATGACGGTAAAGATGTAATTGGACACGCTGAGAAACACTCGCTCCTGTCACAAACACACACAAAGGCACATGTATGAGGGTGTTCACAAAGCAAGAAGCCCATTTGTTATTTCAAAGGTTATGTGTCCCAGTAGCTTTCGCTTTGATCCTGGACAGAAACGTGTTATATAATGAGCTGAAAAAAAGACCATAGCAGACGCATTGGAAACAAAAGCATACTAAAAAAAAATACACATACTTTGATGGTTGGTCTCAGACTAACCTTGCATCAGCTACAAACAAGGAACCTCCTGTCTGTGCAGATTGAAACTTTTTTTGTCTTTTCCCCCATTATCTTCAGCATGTGGTAAAGGTTTGTGTTTTTGAAAAACTGTGCAAATCTAAATTGTTCTCTTCAACAGCGAAAGTGGCTGCTTAAATTTCATTGTTGTTTCAAAAGCACAAGCTTGTTCCTGGTAGCAGTGTAATTCTGCGCCCTTTTGTTACTCAATGTGTGAAGGCTATACACAACTTCAAAAAAACAACTGTTTCATAAACCAACCAGTCTTATCTCTTTTTTTAAACCAAAAAATTTTCTTAGTTTATTGATAAAATGAATTTTATATAGAGGGATTATTGACCCTTTCTTTCATTTCAGCCTACTAAAAAAGAAGAAGAGATGTCTTTTGTATATATTCTAAATAATAATTTATAGAAAAAATGATAAAGAAGAAACATCACATTGAATATGAACACCTGACCTATCAATTATGAAGTAAGAAAAAAGCAAATAAAGTCTAATCATCTTAAAAGAAAAAGCAGATATAAAACAAGACAAACAAATTAAATAAACCCTGAGATAATTCAGGATTTAATAGTGCCCCACAGCCATGAGATAAATATATGAATAAGTGAGGATTCTGTACATGGACTGTACATGAATTTTGGATTAGTAAAACCCTGATGTTTTTTCGGGTTTTTTTTGTGTACAGCAATATCCCAGGACTTTGCCAAAGTAGGAGGATCCTAGGATCCACTGGGTTCCCTTTGCAATCCTCCAAAAGACAAACCCTCCTCATCCTGCGGCCTATACAGTCCATCATAGGGGAGGCAACAATGAATGTCCGACCTTCTGACAGCAGGAAAGACTTAAACCAGAGACCAAGCTGAGACTGTGGATTAGAGAGGTGATGATCAGCATAACTTGGATTATTTAAATTCCCTTGCCTTTATCAGAATGGTGAAAAACAAATGTGCCAAATCTGCCAGGAACATGAAAATTTGTTTTCAGCAAAGCAATCTAGCAATGTAAAAATTATGTCTTTTCATTATGTGTGATGTGTTTTTTTACTGTTTTAAAGCATAACTGAAAGCTTAGCAAGAATTCTACAGCTAGCAAGCCTCTTTGAACCAGGTGCTAATATGTTTTAAGCGTCTCTTATAAAGTGTTGAGACCAACTGCATTACAATAAAGTTTTGAACACTAATATGACGTTGATGTTTATCTGTTTTCTGATCCACTAATTACACTTATTTGCTAAAATATGACTGAATGGTCCATTAAAGTTCCTTCATTTAGCCATTAGCTGCTTTCTTTACATTTCATCTCATTTATTGACTCGTTCAGTTTGCTTCATATTCATTTGATAAAGTGTTGCTAGTCTTCTTATACGGATTAAAGGTACTATTAATGGTATTTTTTGTAAGATTTGAAGCTAATTAAGATGCCAGCTTGTTAGTTACTGTTTAACCTGAAACCCTCTCTGACATATCCACTCATCAAACAATTAAGTGTGTCCCCTGGCCTTATCAAAGTTCCCCTCCATAAATCCCTTAGAAATAACCACATAACATTAAGAATTAATTATCTAAATAGGTATTATTCTGTTAGGCAAATCATAGTTAGATAGATGCTTAAAACATCAGCAAAATAATGTTTTATCTACCACTTTGATTTACATTGGGAAATGGTTTGAACACATTCCAGTCGTTCATTACTAGTTTTAATAAAGCAATAAGCCCAGAGAAGCCGTTTGAGGGATTTACGATGGCAGGGCACGATATAAGCCCCGTGACCCACGGATTCAAGGGTCTTATTGCTTTTATAAAACGATTACCTGCATAGTGCCCATGAAATAAAGGAAAAATAAACATACCCACAAACAACCAAAAAAAAAGGACAATAATTTTGCTTTATTGAAGCAATACAGCCGAGAACTATTTTCCCCACCACTCAGTGAACAGCATTGCTACCAAGCAACCCAGGTTCTCTGTCATCAAAGCTAAATGGGCTTGTTAATATTTCAGACTTGCACTAGTCATTGTTCAATTTTCATGTGATCAGCCACAACCAACAACCAGCCGGTCATTATGAAGACTACCAGCAAAGCTGCTCATTTTCGGGGAATTTTCCCCTAAGTGGACATGGTAAATGAGGTAAATGGGGCGACAGTGGCGTTGGATGTAGGAGTTTGCCCTGAAATCGAAGGGTTGACGGTTCAAGCCCCGACTCCGACTTTCATTGTCGTTGTGTCCTTGGGCAAGACACTTCACCTGCATTGTCTACTGATGGTGGTCAGAGGGCCCGGTGGCGCCAGTGTACGGCAGCCTCGCTTCTGTCAGTGAGCCCCAGGGCAGCTGTGGCTACAATGTAGCTTGCCACTATCAGTGTGTGAGTGTGTGTGTGAATGGGTGAATGAATGTAGTGTAAAGAGCTTTGGTCGAGTCTCCTAAATTGAATAAAGGCGCTATATAAGTACATGCCATTTACCATTTAAGTGGACATGCACCTTCTCCTGCGCTTGGTCCAAGTTTGTAAGAGAGTACCAGAGTGGGGACAAACCGGGGCCCTGCAGATTGGAGAAGCCTAAAAAGAAAACCGAGCAATAAAGGCAGGGAGAGATCCTACACTGCCTGGTTAGCCTTAGCTAGAAAGAGGATCAAAACAGGAGACTAGCTGGCCACTGTAGATGTCATCAGCTTCCAAATGGACAACTGTTCGGTTTGTCTCTAGCCTGATTATAAACTGACCTTAGTCCAATCCAAGAACAGAAAACATACTGTAGCATCTCCTTGGAATTACCAAGCCACCTTTGTAATAAACGTAGTTTTAAAATGATACCTGATCTATCGTCTGTTGCTTGGCAACACTACTTCCAGCACGCTGTAGGTTCCCTTCAGCTTGTGGGACTCATTCTGCGATGCCATTCCAAAATTAGACATAGAGCATCTCAAAATCTGAACTGAATGAGCTGCTATTGACACTCACAATGGTTTTGCAGCTAATAACCACACAAATGCATAACAAATAGGCTGCATGAGGGAGAGCCATAGTATTTTCATTCATTTCTGGGTCCGTCCCTAATCCCGCCCTATTCATTTCTGTCCACTTCTGGCTTTGTTAGACACAGTTGACTTGCATGGAGTTCAAATTGAAAGGGAACCAAAATAACAAAAAATACGGTTTGCTTTTGGTTGAGCCCAAACAAGCAGACCACAGGAGTTTTTAGTGTGAATTATCCCTAAATGAGAGGTGTAAATAATGTCGTCCTATGTGATTTACCTAAGGTGTTATTTATGTTCCATATTAAAATATACACTAGCATCAATTTACTTAATTCTGGTAAGATTTCCTTTTAAAGTGTAACAATAGTAGTATCTTTGTAATTTTAACATTTTTGTTTGTGTGTCTTTATTTTGTTAAAAAGGCATTTAGGTTACTTTGCCTTTGTAAAGGTATTAAATCGTTTGGTTTTAGGATAAGTGATTTAAAAGTTTCATTTAAAAAAATATTGGAGCTAAATTTAGCCATATTATAATTTGCTAAAAAGTCATTTAAGGTTTAAGCATTTATAAAAAAAAAAAAAAAAAAAAACAGCTCTGTGAATAAGAGAAGCAGTTGAATATCTAGAAGATTCACCAACCATGTCTTTTCCTGATTTTTTTTTTTTTATCTCCATCATGCTCATCTGGCTATTAACTACAATCAAATTACAAAGTTTAAACTTCAGATGATTGTTGCATCTATAAAATAATTTTTTTCACTTTATAGTGTGGCTTAAATGAGTACTTTAATCTACTTACGTATGAATTCAAATGAAAATAAAAAAAACTCAACTTCCATTTGAAGGCCACTGACTTTCAAACTGTGAGGACATGATCTACTTTTCTTTTTGTAAGGGACAATGAAGTATGTCCTGCATTTGGAGGTACTGCAAATGAAGCCCTAAAGCTTTTTTCATTAGTTTTTTTTTTTTTAGAGGATTTAACCTGCTTTGTACCCCAAGGGCTCTCGTCTTATGTGTAGTGCAGCTGAAAGGAAAAGGAGCATTGATAAGCCTTTTTTCTTAACTTCAAATATCTACTCATCCATTCATTTTCTTTAGCCACCTAATGCTGGGTCACAGAAGGACAGTTAGTGTCTATTCTAAAGGTCAGAGTAAGATATTTTGGGGATTAACACGACTGGTCACCATTTCATAACAGAGGCAAGAAACAATGCCCTCAGTCACAGCTAAGGGCTTTTTTAGCATTTCTAACCTAATATGCATGTAGATATGCAAATATAAATCACAGAAGCAAAAAATCCTTACAAATTAGTTTATATTTCTGATAATAATTCTCCCTAAATCTGGCCAAAGACATAATTGATATAATGATAAAATGGTTTGAAGCCCAAATAATGAAGTCAATATATAGCTGGAAATATCACAAAATTCTTATTAGATTCAAAACAAAACCAGAAGTTTCAAAATAAAACATTGTTAAAGTAGTTCATGTACTTTTATGTCTAAGCATCCTTGACATTTTCAAAACCACCTAATGCAGAAGTTCCCAAGGGGGTGGAGGGGTAGGGGGCTCTGTGTAATCACAGGCGACATGGTGGGAATGAACTAAATAAATAACCAACTTTGAGAGGTAATTTAAAAATCAATTATTGATGGTAATATAAAATTCTGTTACAAACAAAATATTGATGATTGATGATTAAAAATAGCTTAAAAGGTTGTAAAACACATCCATATGCCCCACCAGTGCTGTCATATGCTAAAGCAAAAATGCATGTCTCCTTCCAGCTCGGCTGATTAACATGACAGCAGACAACTGTGCACAGCTGCATGGAGGAGGACGGGATGCAACGTGTGCAAAGATGTGAAACTGTTAATGCAGCATGTGAGACGTAGACGAGTACTACTGAAATTATATCAATACCATTACATTAGTATTGATCGATGCTTGTACCAATGCTGAAATTGGTACAATCAATGTTTGAATTGATCCACATATCCCTAGAGTGCAGACATTACGTCACAAACTGGTAAAGGGAAGTATGTACAAATAGTGTGCAAGTCTAATGGAACCCTGGAGGATTCTCACTTTGATGTGTGAAGCTTTGAAGAGTCATAATAATCCCAGGATAGTCCATAGTACATCATAGAACTGTGTGGGCAATGAGAGCTGATTAATATATCAAAAACCTGCCATCACACAGTCACTGCTTACGTAACTTAAAAAAGGAGCAGTGTAATTTGGGCCTATGTGTGAGGATGCATTTAACATTTGGCTTTGGTCCATAATACAAGTAGCCCTCAAAAGTCACCTGATCCTGGTATTTCCAGACATTTAAAGGTTTAACAAACAGTTTTGAGCAAGCATGCATAAAAATGCTACCACACACTCTGTCATATTCATACCATCACCACGTTGTTTGACCAAAATATCTGCGGTTTTACTCCAGACAAAGCAAAAATAAAAGATTTTTTTTTTAAATGAGTCTTGGATTGATAAATTTGAAGTCTGCACAGGAAGCAAATTATATATAGGCTGAAATACATGTATACACCTCATGTAACACTTAGTTAACTATCCCTTAAAAGGCTACACCACACATTTAATTAGCATGGAAAGAGTCTGGCATAATTCAGACTGGATATTAAACATAGTCCACACATTTTAGTAGTTGGTTTTGGAGCTATTCAAGAAGCAGTATTATGCTGCATTAAACTGGGCTTTTCCAACTTGTGTGTCCAAAATTTATCTGGATCATCCCCAGAAGTCTCAAAGTTGGAGCAAAATGACCATCCCTGGGTTTCAGGATTGCATACGGCTGTTAACATTTAGTCAGATATGCATATAGCGATGTTGTTAAGATAAAGATGGAGATAAAAATGTTAAAATAAATTCCTTGTTTCCTCTACAATCTGCAATGTGTCATTACCAAAGCCATTTACTGTGGACGGCTGCATAATGCCATAACAGTGTACTTAAAACTGGCTCAGTATTACTAAGTTTGAAGGTCTCTGCTTGAATTCTCCAAACAACATTCTTCCTAATTTGACTTAATATCTCACTGCTTTTCTTCTCTAACCTTTAAATAGTTTGTAAAAAGCTCTTTTGCTTTCTCGTGACGGCAACTATTTTGTTGAACTGTAAGCTGTTTGGAGTAGATATTCCCTCAGACAAAATTAATGTAGAGCTAAGATAAGTCAACAGTTATTGAAATAGTCATCAAATGAGAAATCAAGAGGGCTAAAGGGGATGCAGTTTGTAGCACTGTTGCCTTGCAGCAAGAAGGTTTCAGGTTTGATACCCTGCCTGGGGTCTTTCTGCATGGAGTTTGCATGTTCTCCTTGTGCATGCATGAGCTCTCTCTGGTTACTCTGGCTTTGTCCCAGGCTGAAAACATAAGCATTAGATGGATTGGCTTATCACAACATTGTCCTTAGTTGTGAATGTGTGTGCATGGATGTATGTCTCTGTGTTGCCCTGCGACAGACTAGCGACCTGTCCAGGGTCTGCCCGCCTCTCGCTCATAAACTGCCAGAGATAGCCATTCAGCCTCACCTCGACTGTGATGGAATAAGCGAGAAAAGAAGGATGGATGGAAAATCAAGGAGTTTCGAAAACAGGGCGTTTAAAGCGTGACCCTAAGGAGAAGTTCAGGATGCCCTTCATTAGAATTTAAGAATGGCATGAATATGGTTTTGTCAGCTTGTGCTGCTAATGCAGAAACATGTTTATGAAATGTTAGATTGATATATTCACAATTATTATTGATTTGTTATAGACGGACAAATGTCTGCAAAAAATATTTGTGTTTCCAATCTGCAATCATGTCCTACAGAAATCTGATGTTAAAGTTGCCTCACTGTCGACAGCAACAGAATTTTCCAGGTTATGATAAGCTTCATCTGGTTCTTGGGCTTATTCCCAAACAAGACAATGTTCCCAAAAACATCAACTCTGCTTTGCAATGTTTATATTAAGCGTGTTCTGAAAATTTTTTATAGACTATGCTTAAAAATATCTACTTGTTCTGATAAACACTACGGTAGATTCCACCATGAAAAGGGGAAAATTCGAATGCATCTTTAAAAGCCCAAAATCAAGACTAAAATAATCTCCATGAACTACTGGTTTGAACTACAGAACATTAGAAGTTAAGATCTATGAACAGTGTTGTTACTTTGAAATTAATCACATTTGTTTCTCTGCACATGTTTCCTACCATGCTCTTAGGATGAATATCAGGCCTTTCCAGTGCTATGGTGATGCAGTTCAGAAATATAAAAAGCAGGACGACGTGATCGAAAATCTTGTGACTGATGACCCTCTGACACCACATCCTGAACCTTAAGAGAGACACATTCAGAAAAAAAAAAACCTCATCAGTTACATGCTTTACATAAATCACAAGGATCACTCCTATCACAGCTTTGATCCAGACAAGGAGTATAGTCACACTTTCTTCACCTTTAATTGAAAAAATGTGAAAATTGCATTACTAATTGTTAGCTGCAAGATTCACATGCTCATTGTGAATTTTCACACATGCTGCAGCTTAACCACCACGACCACACAGTAGACTGTCAGGGGCATGTCTATTTTTGTGAGCATGGGGAGTATTTATTTTTTTATTTACTCATTATGTGGAGCAAACAGATACAGCGACCACTCTTCATGTTCTCGGCACCACTGAGGCTCATATGGCTCCAGCAACTTTTTCAGCCTCTGACATAAACTCTGCAAAAAGCACACACATAGAACAATCAAATTAAACACAGAACAGCTGCCTGCTTTGATGCACCATTACACTGAGAACCATTTATATGCTTTTTGCTATTTAATAGTTGACACGGAATAAATGTATTTTGTCGTGCAATGTTTATGCTCTAAATGAATGTTAATAACTAAAGTATGGTTGTAAACAATCCCAAGATACAACTTATACAACTTATTATTTCTGCTTGAACATAATTCTATATTATTCTTTCACCTCTTCAATCTCTTCCTCTTCCTGATCTCTGGGGTAATGTGACGTGGCTTCATCGTAGCCAAGATCCGGAAGGTGAAAGGTTGTGCCATTGCAGTCCGGAGAGAAAAGCATGGGCACCTGTAGGTGGTCCGACTGGTCCAAGGACTGCTCTCTGCTGCTGGGGATGGAGCATGCATGCATGTCGGACAGGAGGGACTCCATCTCCCCTGACTGGCTTCTCCGGTGCAGGCTGGGTGCACGGCTGATGCTCCAGCTGGAGCGACGGCTCTCTGGGCCACTGTCCCACAGAGGCTGCAGGGACAGAAAGAATGTCAGTATGTTTTTTGAATGATCAGCACACTCAAAAGTAAATCTCTTTCTTAGGTTTTTCATTCTACTGAGATTTCCTGATTCTAAAGCCAAACTAGAAGATATATTAATCCCTAATGAGACATATTGGGCCTCATGCAACAACATTTTTGTAATCTTGTCGTAAATTTCCCTTACTTATTCCCCTTCCACAGGCTCCTACAACTTCATCACACCAGATTCAACAAACATGCTTGACTTCGGTTAATGATCGTAAATAATCTTCGTAAACCTGATGCAGTCAACCTGTGCATGAGTTCATGAGAAACGTGAATCTGCATTATTGCCGATCCAATGATGGCATATAAGGGTTTGACTTCCCACCCTTGCCATTCATAAAAAGACATTGAGTAAAAGACAAGCAGTGGGGAATAAAAGCTTTAAATTATGTAGTAGTAGTATTACAGAAGAAAAAAAAAAAAAAAAATCAAGATGAGTTAGCCATCAACCAATAGGACACATCATTCTGCTAAATCTCTTTTTAATACACACGCACACCTGTACTGTAAATCTCTAGACCACGTCTCTCATCCCTTCTTCACACTCTCCATCTCTTTCATGCCCCGCATATACATAAAATTGCTATCGTCTAAACTCTAATTTGACAAATTTAGACAGACCAAACCCAAAACATTACACATTTTATGTAATAAAAAATTCAACAATGGAGTGAAATGAATGTAAGTCTTATCGTGTTGCTAAACATTCGGTCAATTTTCTGTTCCAGATGTTATTTTAATTGTAGCTTGATTTCACATTGAGCTGACTGACTTTTTTTTTTTCTTTTGACGATATGAACAAATCTGCAGGTGTAGTGACCAGTAGTTCTGTCATCAGCAAAGGAAAATGTAATCTATAACTGCAGAGTTGCATAATATATAATGATGCAGCCTGATAAAATTAACAATTGCTTGTCAGTAACAACAAATTTGGTAATTTAGTGAAAAACTAGGTTAGAATAACAGCTGACTGATTGTGCAATACTCCTGAGTCAAGTCTGGAGCACTTGTAAAATTGGTTCATAACAGAAAGAAGAATAGAAATAGGAGAAAAACGGTTAATGCAACAGTTTCTCCTAAATCTCTTGCAAAAATGATTTAGTAACAAATTTGTTTGTACAAACGCTTCTTGCATGAAGCCCATTTGCCCAAAATATCAGAACCATCTATAATTTTTTTTAAAAATCTTAACTTTTTGCAATAATTCAATTCTGCTTTCCTCTGTTGTTGTTTGGGTTTCCCAAAGGTTGTTTTTTTTCATCAACTACTATTCACCTAGAGTGAAAATTCAATGGGAAAACGCTTGATTTTTGACACCTTTATTCTCCTCCTTGTCTCTCTGGGTAGCCATCTAATATTTTGCCAAAAAGCACAGGACATCAGCAAAAAAACTCTGGCACAAAGTTATGCAGCATGGTACCTGAATGAAATGTTATGTCCTTAATCAAACTATATGAAAAATAACCAACAAGGCCTTGAATTAGAAGTACAGTTCCACACAAATGGATTATTGATGTTCTGAGGACGGATGAGCTACAAATGCCCAAGGACGTTAGTTAGAATAAATGCAAAGATAGATATAGAAAGTAATCAGAAAATGTAGTAGATAAGTTTTCTCTCATTAGCTGGGACGATTTGAAGATATGGTGTATGTTATGTATTTATATTATAAATCCCATGGACATGGTGTAGAATAGCTATGTGTTTTGTCATTTTGAAAGTCTTCTCCAAAAGCTACAAGCAGCTGCAGAGGGGAATAGATTCTCACCATAACTTATGTAGAAGCTTGTTTCCCACAGTTTTTCTGTAAATATTTTCATACCTCTCCTGTCCTCAGTCTAAGCGACTAATAACTGTGGAAGCTAGAACAACTCACCAAAGCCAAAACACTCTGGCCCTTATTTTGATAAATTAATTAATAAACCAAAGTTTAATAAAATTTATAAACCAAAGTTTTTTTTTCAACAGCACAATATTTACAGAATATATCCAAATCAGATGAGGACTGGAGTTTTTGCTATTAAATTATAACATAGTTAAACCATGATTGCCCCACATGAATATTCTAAGCCATTCCTTGCTAATAATGGCTTTACCTTCACATAAATCTCTAAAATAGCTAAATGTCTATGAAAAATATAGAAACGTGTATGTGTATCTAAACAGACAAAAAGTTAATTTGGGTATATGTCAAACATAGATATCAAACAGAGCTGTAAAGTACACAAATGAATGTGTGGCCTTTTTAAGCATGCACAGAGGCCCGTTTCACAAAGCAGGTTTAACAAACTAAGACTTAAATCCTCAACTCTGAATTGATCTAGCCTAAAGCTGGAAACTCTGGCTGTGCCTGAACGTCCGCCCTAACCCCTAAATCCCTCAATCACTATGTAAAGAAGCTATATAGTGGACTTTATAGTTAAAAGACAGACAGATGATCACTACTGTCACAATAAATCCCATGATGCTTTGTGCTCTCCCCACAAGGCATTCTGGGATATATCTGCTCATCTAGTGAACATGGATGATCACTACTTTTCAAGGTGCATCATGGGAAATTTTGAGTCCACTACTTTTTCATCCACTAGACTTTCAGACACAGAATTAAAATGGCGTAACCACTATATAGTGCCCTATATAGTGATTAAGAGGTGGATGTTCGGACACAGCCACTGATTAAACCAACTCACAGCTGCTGTGAATTGGTTTAATCAACTGAGTAAGTCCACTCAGAGTTGAGCACATGTGTTACAACTATGAAAAGACATTATCAGTGTAGCCCTTATTGATGAGTCACCATGACAGGCAGAAGGAAGTGCCCATTTCCAACCACTGGAAGAACTCTAAATACATTTTGTGCAGGACCTGTGCAGCATCTCATAGGTTTCCTCCTAAGTTTGACTCTGTCTTACATTACACAGTAAAAACTAAGTGGCTGTTTGTACCTGCTCCTTATGTTTCCATCCCATTAAACAGCCATTATTAGCGTTTATTAGTCCCATAAAATGGCTTTAGATTGTGCCTCCTACCTGCCAGTAGGCTCAGTAAGTTAAATGAATCCTATTTCTAACCCTAAAGTAATCATTTTTTTCCCCCACAGAAAATCTATTTATGTGCAATCTGAAAAAAATTTCAGTAGTTCTCCACGTATTGCATGAAAAACAAAATTAAATCAGCATGTTGCTTATATTAAACAAACCAAAAACAAAAAAGCTTGTATCCTGTAAACTTTTTTAATCCCCAAAATAAATCAGTGTGGCTGTAACATGTGGAATTAATTTGAAGTAATGTTTTAAAACGCAGTTAAAAAAAGATACATTGTAAATAAAGTAGATAAAAACTATCAAGTAGGTCAATATTAAATAAAACTTATGCTTTTAGAACCAGCTGAAGTTGCCATCGTCAAGGATAAACTGCATATTATCACCCATTAGAAACCTAGTAGAAGGTACAGCAGACACAGTCTGAAGCCATTCTGTGGGACTAATGTTTGACTGAGCATGTTTTCTATAATGCTTTTATCACACATATCTCATTGTCACAGATATCAAGTGTTGTTCAATACCTGGTAAAGACGTCTGTGTAATGCTGCATCTGTTAGGACGGATAAGATTATGGATGTATTTGATGGATTGTGAGGTGAAACAGTACCACTCATAAAGATAACTTTCTAAATATGAATAGTATGCAGTTAAGAACCTTCTACCACTAAATGTTTAATTCTCTGCGAATGAATGCCACTCATTCTTTAATCGGGTCCTTGTCTAAAGGATATGCTATGTCTGTTTTTTTAACACCTAAAGTGTCTAACGGACCTAGTAAATTCTTTTCTTTTTATTGCTTGCAAAGTACGAGAAAACTCTTCTGACTAAATCAGGAAATAAAATAATGGGATCAGCTTTAAGGAGGGCAGAGACAGAGAACATCGAGTTAACTGAGAAAAATCTGCTGACCAGGTTAGCTCTAGGGACAATGTTACGGTAACTAAAAAAAAGGGTTGAGTAAATTCTCTTTGTGAAATGGAAAACTGAGAGTTTTGCTGATTTCAGGTTTAGAAAACTTAGAGTTTCTGTTGAACCTGCTTTGTGAAACAGACCCCAGGTACCAAGCTATATGTTGTGCAAAAGTCCACGCCGCTAACGGTCAATTGTGCATCTTTAAAATATGGTATCAAATCAAATTCAGACTTTAAACAAACAGTGTATAATCCCAGCTATCACTAAAGACATCTATTTAAGAAAAGTTCCTTATTCAGCCACATTTCTATTAGAGAAAGGTGGAGGGACCAAAAAAAGAACTGTCAGCATTTTTGTACCCTTAACGCAATTATTTACCTCAAGCACCTTCAACAGGAAGGTCAAAAAGACTGTTGCTGGAGAAAACTTAGTTAAGGTCCAAATCATGCCTGTCTATAGTATGAAGCTAAATTAAAAAATGTATATTTTGTATGTCCATCCATTTTCTGACACGCTTAATCCCAAGTGGGGTCGCGAGGGGTGCTGGTGCCTATTTCCGAGACAATTCAGATTCAGAGATAAAACAGGACAAACAACCATTCTCACACACACACTCACAACTAAGGAGAATTTAGAGAAACCGTCACTTTTTTGGACTGTGGGAGGAAGCCAGAGTACCCGGAGAGAACCCACGCATCCTCAGGGACAACATGCAAACTCCATGCACCACTGAGCAGCCCCCCACATATTTTGTATGAAATTTGAAAAACACAATCGTCCATTCAAAATTAAAAATAAGTTTTCCACATTTTTTCCAGTTCAAATAAAATATGAATTTGATTCTGGAAGTATTTTTTAGAGAGTTCAGTGGCACAGTTGGTAGTACTGCCATTGCAGCAAAAAGGTTCCAGGTTCGATTCATGGAGCTTGCATGTTCTCCCTGCACATGTGAGAGTTCTCTCCGGGTACACCAGCTTCAACCCAGTCCACCAAAAACATGACTGTTTGGTTAATTGGCTTCTCTAAATTCTCCTTAGGTGTGAATGTGTGAGTGAATGGTTGTTTGTCTCTGTGTTGCCCTGCGATGGATTGGCAACCTGTCCAGGGGGTACACCGCCTCTCGCCCTTAGACAGCTGGAGATATGCACCAATTCCTTCCTGTGGCCCATTTTCTAATGTTAGATTTTGTTTAGAATCTAAAAATAAAATTTGGAAAAGCAACACATTTTTGTGAATTTTATTTAACTTTTGATTGTCAATTGAGATTGTTAATATGATATATGTCCAGTTTTATACATATCTGAACAGACACAATGTAGGTAAAAGTTTCAGTATTTTCTTTTATTTAGTTAATTAACACTCAGTTAGCAGACAGGAAAACATGACTCAAACCAACTAAACTCTTTGTCATTTACTGTCATTACACAATCTCAGCCTTAGTGTTTGCTTGTTTGTTTTGTTTAGTTTTTTTTACCAAAAAAGACAAAAAGTAGGAAAAAAAAAAAGGTCACAAAACTTTTCATTTAATAGGAAATTATTTGATTTAATATGAAGGCTATGCGTTGGCAGGCTCTGTTAATTAAAACTTGTACTGAAGCTGTACATCATGTTTTTGTCATCCTCTAAGGGTTTCATGGCTCAGTGAATCAACAGTTGGTGCTAGTTTAAGACCAACAGAAAAGCATTAGCTGTATTCAAAATATTTGCTGTGGCAAATGTTTTATGAGGGCAGATATTGCATCAAGCAGCTTCAGAACTCAATTAACAGCTGTTTTTGATAAGAAAAAGATTCGAATAATTTATTCAATTGAGTTCTTTTTTCCTGTTAGTGCTATCTGTTATCTATAAATGATAAAGACTTTCTGTTCTACAGCTTCAGTTAAACCTGAGTTTATCTGTAGAACGTGACACATGAGACATGTCCAGCCTCACCAGTCCTCTGTGCTCCAAACTGTTCACATCCATGGAAACGCCGCTTGGCCTGCGGGACTGGTTGGAGTTTATGATAGGTGTGGCTGCCGTATGTGTGATGACTGGCAGCAGGGGAGGAGCGGGGTGAGGCATAGAAGCTTTGGGGTTCAGGACACCATTGGGGGTCAGCATCATGGCCTGGATCTTTAGCTCTGCGTTGATATAGAGGAGAAACAGAGAAAAGGATTAAAATTGCACTCAAAAATCCACTGCATATGACAAGTCTTTAAATTAGTATTTGTTCACAGATCACACTTTCTTACTAAGAATTAAATGTATTTGCTGTGCTTATTCTAATTATGTCATCTTTTTTTTCCCAGCTTTACTTTTTTATTATCATTACACTGTCACAAGTACAGAGCAATGCAATTAGGGCTGTATGCCCTAACCACTAGACCACCACTCTCCTTTTCTGCAGACACATGCTTTGTACATGAGGCTCATGACATTAAATGGACATCATAATTTGGTGATTATATAAATAATCCTGAAAATGAAAAATAAAAAAAACATTATAGAATTTTGTTTTTTTGTCAGCTAACTTAAAGGGTGACGAATGCAGTCGCTTTAGATTACAGTAGAGATGCCTGAGTAAAGAATGTATCAAAGCATGTTGTAATAATCAAGGTTAAATCCATCCCTAAAAAATGATTTATTTAGTGCAAAATCATGTTATATAATCTAATTCTTAGTAATACCATTACCAGGAAAAAGATTGTCTACAATAAATGGTAGGTAATATAATAATGGTAAATTTAGGTTCTGCCAAACTTCAAAAGTGAATAGTAAAACCCATCTTTCACCTGCAGCGTACAGCTCTCTGAGCTTCTCCTCATCCTGACAGCTCAGTGACTGCCTCTCGTCATCAGCCTCAGATCTGTTGGCATCTCCCTGAAAAGCAGACGCACAGGGACACCCACCCTATCGTCACAATCTTAATCATCATCACCATCAATGTCATTTATTTGCACACACTGCTGAGTGTTTTAAGACATCAGAATGTTTGGAGGGAATGATTCAGAGACAAAAAGCCAGAGACAGACGGGGAGAAGAAGGGAATCTCCAGTGTTTGCTAGTTGAGTTATGTTCATTGCTCTGGCAGTGATCTCCTGTAGTCATGCCAATAAAGCTTTACTGAATTTAATTAAAATTCACGCCAGAAAGATTGAAGCAGACGGCTTTGGTAAAGGGTATCAATACGTGTGTGTGTGTGTGTGTGTGGGTCTGTGTGCATGATGGAGGGCAAGTGTTCTCTGATGGTAGAGATAAGAGATGGAAACTAAACAACAAAAGCTCACCAGCTGTGAACGACAAGAGATATCAAACAGTTTCCCACCCAGGAGACTATTGGGAGTGTGAGTGTGTGTCGGTGAGAAAGACGGATAGACATAGGGAGAGAGAGGAGAGAGAGATGAAAAAGCCAGAGGAGATTATTTTCCAGTAGGAAGCTTTGGTATCATCAACACAACAGAGTGCAATTAGGCTAATTTCCTCTAAGTAGCTCAAATAAAAGCTGCATGTTTGCCCTTACTTCAGCCTGAAAACCCTCAACTAAAATGGCAACAAGCAGGTTGAAGAGGACATAGTTTCCGAACGTCATGAGGGCCACGAAGTAGAGGGCAGCCAGCGGAGATGTGGAGGCCATCCCGTTGTAGAGCACAGCGTTCCAGTCCTCCTGGGTGAGGATCTGCAGATGAGAGCAGTCGTTTTAGAAGTCAAACCGTTAGGGTAATAAAAAAAAAACACACAACACTGAATTACCTCAAACGGAGATTAATCAACAGTCAGAGGTTTTAACCTTATGTATACCCAAATGGAAAAGCAAATAACTTAAGAACTGTAAGCCCAAATTACATGTGTGATACGTTATTTAAAAGCTAACACCTTCTATTTTCTGAATATATACATGAAAATTGAGTGAGTAAAACCCCAAGCTGCATCGGTTAAAGAAGACTCAACATTTTTTTTTTTTTTATTCTCGCAAATAGGTCTTTTTTGAACAGCAGTTATAAAGACATGCTTGCTTGCTGTGGATGCTTTGTCATGGTACATTTTGACATGCTGCTATATCTGTGTTAATTGTGCTTTGGTGCTCCTTATGTCCATAAAATGGACTAGTTGGTTGAATTGTGGAGAATCTAAGCTTTCCAATGATGTCTAACATGTATTGGTAAACATTTTACTAGTGTAATTTTCATGAATTCTGAGTTATTATTTATAAACGCTTTAAAACGGGTCCACGGCGAGCCGGTGGGTTTTGAAAGGTTAAGCACGAACATATTTCCTTTCTTTTTCTCATTTTAACAACAATGATTTCTCATAAGTGTTGGCATAATCTCCAGTGAAGAGCATCTTTTACTGCTGCTTCTCCCCTTTCTTATCGTTAAGTTTCTACCTGCCCACCGGGGGATTTTTTTATATTTTGCTAAGGTGAAAATGAGTGTGGCTGCTTCCCAGCTGTGACAGATGAAATTACAAAGAAGATAATTAGCAGATATAGCTTGAATATTCTTTCTGTTAACTTTACAATTACATCTACAGTACATGCAGCACTTTACAAAAGCATTTGCTAACTAACACGTTTCAAATTTGAGTTTTTTGTCGCATCCTTAATAATTCAGATGATCACAGAACATTTTAGTATCAGATAAACTAGAATAAACTAATTAGTAAAATATCTTTTCAAATTATGACTTACATTTTTAATATGAAAAATATTTTTGGCCATGACTTGTCTGTGACAAACAACATGTTTTAAATTTGACTTCTTTACTACATCTAGGCCTGATTAGTGCCCAACCTGTAGAAAAATGATCAAACTTTATGTCCGACAATAGGACATATACAAGAAGATCCCAAAAAGCTATATGCAATGAATTGATTAATAAATTTCAACACCTGATGGGAAACAAAGATACACACAGCCTTTCCAAAGCTTTAGGAATCCATAGACAATATTTCCTAATAAAGTTATATCAATGTACAGTTTTTAAATGTTAGTGAACTGCTTTACAGCACTTTAAGATCAATGCTTGAAAGATGTTATATATAAAATATTGTGGATGTCCACAAACAGGCTATATAAATCTTGCCTAACAAAAGATTGAAAAAAGGATTTCTAAAGAAGGTATAAAAAATAACACAGAACACCACCTAAAGCATTACAGGCTCATATTGCATAAATCACTATCTGATTCAATAAAAAGTAATTGACTCAGCAAAAAAAGGCATAATTGGAATATCTCAAAGTCAAAACCTCCAGCTGATTAAAAAACGAAAACAAAAACAGACCTGTCTGACTTCTCCCAATAAAAAGAGAATGAATCACAAGACTTTCTGACATTGTCCTGAGCGATAAAGGTATATTTTTAAATGTGTATATAAATATATAGTGTAAGGCTAATATATCCCCGGCAAGAACAGATAAGGCTGTTCGCTCTCAATCTGCAGGCTTACTGGTGGTTCCCAGAATTTCTAAGAGTAGAATGGGAGGCAGATCTTTTAGGCTCCTCTCCTGTGGAACTAGGATTTATTACCAGTTTTAGTCCATGAGGTAGACACCCTGTCTACTTTTAAAGGCTGGTTTATACTTAGAAACCAGGTCGTCTGCGTGTGAGTCGCAGTTAACACAGATATGCCCCCCGCCCCTCCCGCAGACACTCTGGTGACCTCTCCAAAATTGTAGGTGAATGAAGACAGTGCTGCAGACAGGAGGCCTCTGATTGGTCAAATCTACATCTGCTCTACACTATCTGTATTTCCTTTCCTTAACTTGCCCCTTGCGGTTTTCCACTTCCTCACCACCTCAGCCGCATCTAGACCAGCAGCTTGTTCGTGATTGTCCCTCTTGCGTTGTGACTTGGTATAACATAGGGCAGACCACGCTTCAAAATTGGGCATAAATCAAAAATATCTCCATCATACCTGTGACAAGCTCACTGTGACCTTCTGCTGTGGGATATTAACAAGCCCTTAAGGATAGGCTTACAGCTTTCCTTTTTGATAAAGCTTATAGTTTAAGTGTCTCAGGTTATCCTGAGCTATCTCTATAGAAATGCTGCTATAGGCTTAGACTATTGGAGGACATAGAGACCCCTTTTCATCACTGTACTTCACATCTCTATTCTTCCATTTGTTAGTTTAATCTCTAAAGTTATGCTCTCTCTGCTTTTTCCATAGTAGCTTCATCTGGTCTGTGCCTGTTTGGCTGTGACACCATCCTGGGGAGAAATATCAGCTGTGCTGCTGCCATCAACATTTTGTTTGTGGATGGCTTGGCCTGTTATTAAGTGTAGTCCTGTTTCTCTGACTGGCTGGATGTGCTCTCTTCATCATGTGACATAGGAGTTGGCTCCGAGCTTGTCTGCCTGGCTGTGTGTTTCCTGTATGCCTGTAGAGCTGGTTGTCGGTTGCCTTTTGTATCTCTGCTTCTATCTGTATGTCTGCCTCTGTCTCCTTGAATCCCAGTGGGCCTCGGCAGATGGCCGCTAACTAAGCCTTGTTCTGTTGAAGGTTTCTTTCAGTTAAAAGAGAGTTTTCCTCTCTGTTGTACAAGCATGATAGTGAGGGATTGCCTTCGAGTCAATGAAAATGGAATCAGCTGGTTTTCCTTACATAGAGAACGTTGAACCAATCTGACTGAATGAGCTGGTTGAATTGTCTCCGCAAAGTGCCTTCAGATGACATGTGTTGTGAATTGGCGCTATATAAATAAACTGAATTGAATTCTTCTACTTTAGATAGAAGGGACCAGTGGCAGATGGCTGATAGAGGGCGCTAGGGCGCTACCCTGCTCCACACGGAATGACCCTGATTAAGACACAAACAAAAAATTTATAATTTTTTTTTTTTTAGAATTACACTTTGAATTAAAACGTAAAATATTTCCAAATATATCTCTCTCTATATATATATTTAGATATGTAAGATAAATATTTAATCTTTAATGACTAGTAAAGCATCATTAAATTTTTTGTCGGATTGGTGACGTATTTCCGCCCTATGGCGCAGAAATCTTTGCCCATTGACTGTCGTTAAAAGTTGTACATGTTCGGTAGCTCCTCCCCAATACAAAGGTAGGGCTGCACCCCGTGGTGACAGGAAGTGTATTTGCTCACCACCTCCCACCAAAGCACAGATGTTTTGCGAGTGATTGACAGGTCGTGTCGCAGGAGTTGGAGACGTATTGGAGAGAGAGAGAAAAATGGTGCAAGTTGGTTTAGCAAGAAAGCTTGGCTAGCAGCATATAGCTTTATTCTGCTTTACCTGCCTCCTTTTTCAAATGTCAGGATCTCACCCAGCATGGGTAGAGACATGTAGGACTGATTTAAAGCACTTTTTAGAAAAGGCAAAGAAGAATGATTCACATGGAAAATAATATAATATAGTTTACTTTTTCTAGATGTTTGCTAATTTGCATAGTTGCTCATAAATAAAGACATTCTCAGAAAATAGATTTTATATGTTAAAAAAAGGACAAAGCTGACCAATAGCCTTTCCATTATTAAACTGGCACATTGTTTTGTAAAAAAACTAAACATGTACATTAAATTCTGTTTTTCTTTTATAAAGTGTTTCTTAATGTTTTTTGTTGTTGGCATTCATATAAATATACTAGTGTGATAACTTAGTATATATTTGGTTTTTGGTATACGTCTATTTTGAATTTATAGCTCCCCCCTGGAGAAAACTCCACCAGCCGCCACTGGAAGATACAACAACCAAGGTGTCTCCGCCCAGGATATCTCACAAGAATTAAATAGTGAACTCCTACAAAGCTCTCATTTATCAGCATGTGTANTTTACTCTTAAAATAAGATAATTAGATAAAATGCACTTGAAATAAGACAATGCAATTGTGTTTTCTTATTTTAAGTATAAATTGTCTTGTTCCATTGGCAAAATGTCTTTTTTTACCTCCTAAATTCAAGAACAAATGCACTTATTTTAAGAAAAAAATGACTTATCAAGATTTAGATTTTTTGCAGTGCTGTGACAAGCTCACTGTGACTTTGTGCTGTGGGATATTAACAAGCCCTTAAGGATAGGCTTACAGCTTTCCTTTTTGATAAAGCTTATAGTTAGAGTGTCTCAGGTTATCCTGAGCTATCTCTATAGAAATGCTGCTATAGGCTTAGACTATTGGAGGACATAGGGACCCCTTTTCATCATTCTACTTCAAATCTCTATTCTTCCATTAGGCAGAATTTGTTAGTTCAATCTCTAAAGTTATGCTCTCTCTTCTTTTTCCCATAGTAGCTTCATCTGGTCTGTGTCCCTATTTGGCTGTGACACCATCCTGGGGAGAAATATCAGCTGTGCTGCTGCCATCTACCCTTTGTTTGTGGATGGCTTGGCCTGTTATTAAGTGTAGTGCTGTTTCTCTGACTGGCTGGATGTGCTCTCTTCATCATCTGACATAGGAGTTGGCTCGGAGCTTGTCTGCCTGGGTGTGTGTTTCCTGTATGCTTGTGGAGCTGGTTGTCGGTTGCCTTTTGTATCTCTGCTTCTTTCTGTATGTCTGCTTCAGTCTCCTTGAATCCCAGTGGGCCTCGGCAGATGGCCGCTCACTAAGCCTTGTTCTGTTGAAGGTTTCTTTCTGTTAAAAGAGAGTTTTCCTCTCTGTTGTACAAGCATGCTAGTGAGGGATTGCCTTCGAGTCAATGAAAATGCAATCAGCTGGTTTTCCTTACATAGAAAACTTTGAACCAATCTGACTGAATGAGCTGGTTGAATTGTCTCTGCAAAGTGCCTTGAGATGACATGTGTTGTGAATTGGTGCTATATAAATAAACTGAATTGAATTCTTCTACTTTAGATAGAAGGGACCAGTGGCAGATGGCTGATAGAGGGCGCTAGGGCGCTGCCCTGCTCCACACGGAATGACCCTGATTAAGACATAAACAAAAAATTTATAATTTTTTTTTTTTTTTTTAGAATTAAAAATTTAAATTAAAATGTAAGATATTTCCAAATATATCTATATATATATGTAGATATGTAAGATAAATATTTAATCTTTAATGACTAGTAAAGCATCATTCCATTTTTTGTCGGATTGGTGATGTATTTCCGCCCTAGCGCGCAGAAATCTTTGCCCATGACTCTCGTTAAAAGTTGTACATGCGCAGTAGCTCCTCCCCAATACAAAGGTATAGGAGAGCTCGGGGCGCCGGAGAGCTGCACCCCGTGGTGACAGGAAGTATTTGCTCACCACCTCCCACCAAAGCACAGATGTTTTGCGGGTGATTGACAGGTCGAGTCGCGGGAGTTGGAGACGTATTGGAGAGAGAGAGAGAGAAAATTGGTGCAAGAAATGTCCTTTTTCAGGACCTGGTTTAGCAAGAAAGCTTGGCTAGCAGCATATAGCTTTATTCGGCTTTACCTGCCTCCTTTTTCAAATGTCAGGATCTCACCCAGCATGGATAGAGACATGTAGGACTGATTTAAAGCACTTTTTAGAAAAGGCAAAGAAGAATGATTCACATGGAAAATAATATAATATAGTTTACTTTTTCTAG